TTAATACTGTCATGGGGTACAGTGTACTGTTTTTATATACAATTTGAAATATTTTCATCAAACTGGTTAACATAGCCTTCATGTCATTTTCTTAGATACTGTGTTAAGACATTTATATTCTACATTTAGAAAGATTCACATGAAATTTTCATTTGAAAAAATTGGGGGAATATTTTTATTCCCAAGAAAAGAGAAGAACTACACTGGAAATGCTGAAATCATCCCCACAACTAATAGCATCGGCATAAGGCTCTCGGGGGCAGCCTCAGAGCCCCTCAGTGTGGAGCTCACCCACCGTGGCAGGCACGTCTAGAAAAATAATGTTAGAGGTGCATTTTACACATGTCAGCCTGCGCACTGGCAGCAGGTGGTGTGGGCCGTGGCTGGAAAGTGCCGTCTTTACCGGGTATAACTGTGCCACGTCAAGAGTGAGAGGGGACGGCAGGGGGGGTGAATAGTGAGTAGGCTGAGGTTGGGGACAGCTCCCCTGTGGCAGGTGACCTTGGTTTGGTCATTGGGGGACAGTGGCTGTGTGTAAGTGGAAAGCAGACCGTCTGGGCGGAGGGACCACCACAAATTCAACTGCCCCAGACCTCCCCGCTGCAGGGCTTTTAACAAAGTGGGCGATGGGGCGAGCTGGCCCCTGGATTTATCCACTGCTCTAAGGGGTGTGGAGTCTTCACTCATTTCCTCCCCTGCTCTCAGGACACTAAGGAAACCAATTCGATTCAAGTAGAAAGTTCCTGCATAGGGTGGCTTCAGGAGCCAGACCTGCAGGGCTAATCTCAGATCCAGTGGGCAGAAGACCCCTGTGCTGGGCCATCCTGCGTTAAGCACTGACTGGGATTTGCCATCTTTGCTCCGTGTGATTCCATCTGATGCCCTTGACTGTCTGGTTAGCTGTGACTCCTCTGTCTTGTTCCACGGGTCGCTTCAGGAGTCCTCGGAGGAAGGTGGCAGTAGTGAGCTTTCTCTGTGGGCACAGGGCAGTGAGGGGGCCACAGGACAGGAAGTGGGGGCTTGGGGTTCACTATCTTTCTGACACCCATGAGCCTCGCCCCAGCACCCTTGCGCTGAGGTGCTGTGGGTCTCCCCCCACCAGTGTCATAGGAGCCATGGCTTTGGCCGGAGCTCAAAAGGGATTTGACAGTCTGAACTGTCTGCTGTGTGAGCACACAAGAGTGACTGCAGAGTCCCAAGTCACCTCTCAGATCTGCTGAACCAGAGGTGTGGTCTGCAGTTGCCACACACATCTCTGGCAATCCAAGTGCAGAAGTTCTGAGCTGCAAGAAATAAGGTCGGAGGTGTGACGGGAAAGCATGTTGATGAGACAGCTTCTTCCCAGGGAGTTTGGAGACAATCTCAACCCCTGTAACCTTCCCAGGGCTCGTGATAAGGAGCTTTCAACATGCCAAAAAAAAAAAAGAGAAAAAAAGAAACGTGCCTTTTGTTGGGTGCCGAGCAAAGAAAGAAGTAACAGCAGTGCCAGCCCAGCCTCTCTCCCTGAGACGCCCTCACAGTCGGGGGCTCTCTCTGCCTTCCCTCTGGAAGCCCCATGGGCTGCTCCTGGCCCCAACAAAGACGTCCAAACAGGGGCTGGAAGAAGGAGGCCTTGGAGAGTCGTCCAAACAGGAGGGATGTGCAAAACCAAGTTTGTGAAGTCCCACTTTTCACTTTTTAAATTACAAATGAAGCTAATGTTTTACTTTTTTATTTTGCTCTCTATTGTCATCCATTTACTCCTTGAAAGTATTTAATATTTGTCCATTTTCCTCTATAGGTTGAAGAGAGACCAGACAAAGATTTTACCGAGAAGGTAAGAAATCACTCAAAACCTGGAGGGTCTCAGAATTTATGGATGAAACTGATAAGAAAATATGTTGCGGCTCGACGCCTGTGGCTCAAGCGGCTAAGGCGCCAGCCACATACACCTAAGGTGGCGGGTTCGAACCCCCAGCCCGGGCCCGCCAAACAACAATGATTGCTGCAACCAAAAAAAAAAATGGCCAGGCATTGTGGCGGGC